TTAGCATTGCAGATAAGGCTGGACTCTAATACAGGTAGGCTACAGTTTTTCTTTTGAATTATTTTTCTCCCACTGTTTCTCATTTTACTAAAAAATAAACTAGAACAGAACTAGTTCAATTGCCAAAGTAACTGTACTTTCAGGATACTGAGTCTTATTTGCATAAAGTGCATTAAGAGCAATTATTAGCCATCTAGGCCTTTATTTTCTTTAAATTTGGCTTTGCTGGAACTTTAACTATTTATAAGGAATCTCAGGTTAGACTTAAACCTCTCACAAGCCCAGGTTTTATCTGTGCCATCAGATACCTATATGCATTAGGTAAATTCTTCTCTTTAGGTCCCTCACCATCTCTAGACAGGAGATCATGGCCAATCAGTAGATCAGATAAGACTTGAACTGGAAGCTCCTTGACCCTATTGAGTAGAAGATGATGCTATGGGACTAAGACCTACCACTTCTCAGATTTTTCTAGATTACCAGCAATAATAATTTTGTACACTTTTAATAAAAGTGTACAAAAGAACTTGAACAATATAATCAGAAAGTTGATCTCTAAGTTTTCTTAAGGGCTAAGATGACTGACAAATTTTATAATTCACATAACAAAGTTTATGTCTCTAGGATGTTTGATGACAGTAATGCAATTGGTTATAATTAAAGACATATTTGGGTTTAATTATTTATATGTTTCTTTCTATTTAAAGAGTAGCAAAGTGAAAACACTGTTGTCGTCATTCTTTAATTCAGAAAAAGATGTAGATCTTCTCTCTTCTAGTGGTCCATAGAGGGCTGTTATCCACTAACCTTAAATACCACTTTATAGGGAGGAATGTTTACATATTTTCAGTGTGATGAAATTCTAGTGAAATCACAGTCATTGCTTACATTTCTTTGCATAAAGTCTCAGACAAGGTATAGTAAATGTGTACTAAGAATATGTATTCTTGTGTTGGCACCTGTAACACAGTGGTTATGGCACTAGCTACACACACCCAGGGTGATGGGTTTGAACCTGGCCAGGGCCATCTATAAAACAACACTGACAACTACAACCAAAAAATAGCCAGGTGTTGTGGCAGGTGCCTGTAGTCCCAGCTACTTGGGAGGCTGAGGCAAGAGAATCGCTTAAGCCCAGGAATTTGAGGTTGCTGTGAGTTATGACTCCACAAGGATGACATAGTGAGACTCGGTCTCAAACAAACAAAAAAAAAAAGGAGTCCAATTCTGGTGGACTGCCTGAGCTAAGGGGTTTGAGACCAGCTTGAATCAGAGAGAGGCCTTGTCTCTAAAAAGAGCCAGGCTTGTGGCAGGCCCCTGTAGTCCTACCTACTTGGGAAGCTGAGGCAAGAGAATCACTTGAGCCCAAGAGTTTGAGGTTGCTGTGAGCTACGATTTCATTGCACTCCACCGAGAGCAACAAAGTAAGACTCTGCCACCAAAAAAAAAAAAGAAAGAAGGGAGGGAAGGAAGGAAGGAAAGAAAAGAAAGAAAGAAAATGCCTTTAAAGCAGGGTCTGGCTCTTACCTAATGATCCTAGCACAAACTAAACACTCAATAAATATATTTTCATTCATTCGGTTGATATTTGTTTAAAGCTACTCTGTGCTAAGTAAGTAGCCCTGGAATATCCAGACAAATAGTATTATGGTCTTTGTCCTAAGGAAAAAAAAAAAGAAAAAACGAAAAAACAATAAACTCCATCCCAGAAACTGTTGGCATTCTGGCCTCATTCAACTTCTCCTCTAATTGTATTGTTTCAGGAAGATGAGGCCCAATGGAAAGAAAGAGCCCCCAAACACCACGTTTGGGCTTTATTCACCAGCTGGGAGCTTATGGCATACAAGAATTCCAAATGGCCACGATCCCTGACTGGCTTGGTCTTTCCCTTTTTATTGATAGTCAAAAAGTTCTATCCGACAGGAACCCTTCTCATTGGCCAGTTTAAATCAAGCGAGAGATGCTATTCCAGCCCCTATAGCACTACAGGATTTTACAGAACTTGGAAATTTCCAAGTTCCAGGAAGTTAAGTTTACAAATTCCCAAGAGCTCAGTCATCATGGAGAGAACCCTGCAGGTCTCCTTGAGAAGACCTGTTCTCCTAGACCTCACCTTTCTTGGGTATCCTCTCTCAGAATCTCATGTCACTCAAGGTCAGAGGGGTGGGACCTGAGGCCCTATCCAATCAGGGATGCTGCATTAAGAATTATCCAATAAAAAGCACAGTCTCAAAGTATGGGTGTAAGATTTTTATCTTGCTCTGGGCACCAAGCTGTCATCTGCTCTTCACTGTGGCATCTCCAGGGGCTCCCAGGTGTCTCTGCTGCAGCTTTTTTCACCTTGTGACCTGAAGGTCCTGGGAGAATTTTAGGGAAGCCAGAGGGACACCCTGGAAACAGTGAAATGGTGAGTATATTGGACGAGGTGTCCTGAGAGTGGGAGCTGTCTGGTTGAAGACAAAAGTGGCTGTGGCCAGACCAGGGGACATGTTTAGCTTTGAAATTGTAAAACAGTAGTGTGCCACTTGCACCCCTTGGCCCTCAGAACCCTCTTGGCTAAGGTTGCTGTTGGGCGGGCATCCCATCTGCTTCCTCTGCTTCCTCGGGTGGTTACTTTGACCACTTCCCAGAGCAATCTCTGAGCAATCTCTGAGCAGCTATTTGCCTGCAGGACAACAGCCCTCCAATGGAAGGATCTTCAGGAAACAATTCCAACTGGGTGTTTGAGGCTAGTTGAAGGGAGGGGTTGTGCCCTGAGAGGCCTCCAGTCCCTCCGTTCTTCTGTTAAAATGAACTGAGGTAACATCAAAAGGTTAGAGTTTAATTTTTTGAACAAACAGCAATTCATGAATAGCAGGGCCCTCAGCCATGAATTGTAATCCGGAGGCCCCAGGTTGGAGGTGAAGGGTGCTTAAAGGAAAGGCTTTTTTACAAGGTGCATAAAAACCAAACCAAATTCAAGAACTGACTGGTACAGTTATTTATTCACCTTATTTGGGCTGTCCAGGTGAATTTTTCCTGGATTTGTAGCCAGAGGAGAATTAGCGGTTTGTGATTGCTTAAGCCTAAATTTTGTTCCCTGCTAAATTGATGTTGGGGCACAGCAAATGATTCTTAGGAAAATTGTAGCTTAAGTATGCTAAGTACTTTTAAGAATGATATTCAGAAATAAGCCTGAATATCAAGGTCTTTATAACTTAGTGTTGCTTTTCTCACCCACAAGAGTAGGGAGGGACTCTCTAATATGACCTTTATGCAACGGACAAAGCTTCTTAATAAAATAAAACCAGTTGCCTTCTATTGCTTTCCTGTTACTGCCTTACCTAGTGCAGCTGGAAAATCCAGCCATTCTTGGAGGATGAGATTTTCCTCGACACAGTTTGTTTCTCAAGATTATTCAGATTCCTAAAAGAATCATTTATAAAATAGTTTATTTCCTCCTGGTCCATTCATTTTCTAGTCACTTTTTGGCCTTCATGAGAATGGTCTATATCCCCATCTCTTTTCTGAAAAAGTCTTTAAGCTTCTGTACACCAGCAGGAGGTTGGCCTAATCTCTTTCCTTTAGAATTTGTTCCAGTAAGCCTAAATGGCCCAGGTGGAACAATGGAGCATGAGTAATCAGGTATGAGAATTGGAAACACCTGGAACAAAGGAGCAAAGGAAATATAAAAAGAAAGAATTTACATTTCCTTTTGGTTGTTGGGTTCCTGGTTGGTTTGTCCAACCAGAAATGCACAGGGGTGGTGGTGCCATTGTCCTGAGAAAGGAAGTGGGCTGATTTTTTTTTTTTTTTTTTTTTTTGAGTCAGAGTTGCACTCTTCTTGGATATAGTACCCTGGCATAATAGCTCACAGCAACTTCAAACTTTTGGTCTTGAGCCATCCATCCTCTTGCCTCAGCTTCAGAGTAGCTGGGACTAGAGGCATGGGCTACAGTGCCTGGCTGGTTTTTCTGAAACTGGGTCTTGTTCTTTCTCTGTCTGGTCTTAAACTCCTGAGCCCAAGGGAACCACCCACCTTGACATCCTAGAGTGCTAGGTTTATAGAAGTGAGCCACAATGCCTGGCTTAGGCTGAGAAATTTTTGAAAATCTTATTGAAAAACTATGACTTGGCTCGGCGCCTATAGCTCAACCGGCTAAGGCGCCAGCCACGTACACCTAAGGTGGCAGGTTCGAATCCCCAG